GTGTGGTTTTCATGTCTTTTTATTGCTGTAACTTACTGGGTTTATTTGTTATTATTTTTGCTCCTGCTGAGTTTAATCAGGATTGCCTGAATGAAGGTGAGCAGGGAATTGTTTACTGGAGCATGGGAAACTCACCACTGGAGAAAATAACTCCCCTTTTCACAGCAACCATTGATGGCCAATAGCACCCCAGGGAGGCCTCATGAGCTCCCCTCCATCCATAACAGAATGTTGATGGACCCCAGCTTGGGCAGGCAACCACAGTCACTGTGAGTTTATGAGTGTAACATCCATGTCATGTACAGAAGATAGTGTTTTACAGCACTCCTCCCCATCTGGCTCTTACATTCTTTCTGCCTTCTCTTCTATGATGCTCCCTGAGCTTTGGAATTGGCAGTATAGATATCCCATTTAGTGCAGGGCACTCAGTAGTCACTTATTCTCAGCACTTTGATCAGTTAGGCGGCTCTGAAGTAACTGTCACTCACTGCAAAAAGAAGCATCTCTGGCTGAGAGTGCTATTACATAGTTCTAAACATAAATACTGAGAAGGCAGTTTGACATCATGACCATTTTGCAAAGCAACACTGGTAGGTCCCCTACACACAGTTAGGGCTCCTGACTTCCCCAGGCATGGGCTTTGGCTAAGTTTGCACCACCAGGCACGTAGTCCCTCCTAGGGAGCAGATCCAAATCCAAACAAGAAGCAGTTGTCTGCTTCCATAACAGTCATGCCACTACTGCACCAGTGGGCATACTGAACATCTTGCCTGGAAGGTTGGCAATGTAGTTCACAGAGTTCACAGCTGGGTAAGATTATTAGTGACTATTCTGCCTCAGCAGCCTACAGAGCACTTTCTGGCACTATGAAAGCTAGTCAGCAGAGAGGAAATTTCCTGATCAGTCCAGCTTGATTCCTCTATGTCCTGCAACTGAAGTGTCTCACTCCTTTTTTTAAAAAAAAAATAATTAAAAAAAAATTTTTTATGTCTGCATGTGTGTAAGTGCATCTGTGTTGTGCAGTCCCCATGGAGGACAGAGAGGGCGTCGGATCCCCTGGAACTGGAATTACAGACAGTTGTTAGCAGCCATGTGGGTCCTGGGATTCAAACCTGGGTCTCCTGCAAGAGCAGCCAGTGCTCTTAACTGCTGAGTCATTGCTCCATCCCCGTTTCTCACTTTTTTTATGCCATCAGAATACAATCATGGGGCTCCATCTCAATTACCTTATCTAATCTGAATCACCTCCCAAAGACTTGAAGACTTGGGGAGACATTCTTAACTTCAAGTCATAGCCACCTTTGCAAATCTTTTTTTTTTTTTTTTTTTTTTTTTTTTTTTTTTTTGGTGTTTTTGAGACAAGTCCCAGTAGCCCCAGCTGGCCTGGAACTCACAGAGAACTGCCTGCCTCTGCCTCCCAAGTGTTGGGGTTAAAGGTGTGAGCTACCACACCTGTCCATCTTTGCAGATCTTAAAAGTGCACTGCACGGGACTCTTCCTCTCTCTGTTCTTTCTGTCCCTTTCACTTTCTGTCTTTCCTTAAGTCCTGCACAGGTATTACACTTGCATGGTCATTGCTTGGTTTGCATTCCTAGATTATTATTCCTTCCTTCTGAGTCCTGCACTGTCATTTCCCCCAATTAATCTCTTGTATATTTAATTCAGTCTTGGCATCTGGCCTCCCTGAAGAGGGAGGACTAACGCACAAGAATTTTTTTGTTTTCATGTATGGCTCAAAAACAATAAAAAAAGCCAGCTGTTATTGCCCATGCCTGGAAGGGCAGCACTTGGTAGCTGAGGCAGCAGAATCCAGTTTGAGGTTAGCTTGGGCTACAGAGATAGACACTGTCTCAATAAAAACAAAACAAAAACAATGACCGAAACTAAACAGGATGAAGAAAAAGAGAAAGAGGAGAGGAAGAACGTGAAGGAGGAACAGGGGAGGAGATAAGGAATGGTAGCAATCTCCTCAATTGTTGAAAAGTCTTTTTCATCTTAAATCAACTTTATCAATTAAATGGTTATGTACTAAAAAGAATTTTCTTCCAATTCTGATTGGATAATAAGTCAAGGAGCAAATGCTACAAAGCAACAGGTAAGATCTATTTTACAGAAGGCCATTACTGCACAAGTTCATTAATAATCTATTCAGAGTGGCATGAAGATTCAACCCATGGGGGCTGGAGAGATGGTTCAGCAGTAAGGGGTACTGGCTGTTCTTGCAGAGGACCCAGGTTCAGTGTCCAGCACCCACATGGCAGCCCACAACCATCTGTAACTCAGGTTCTAGGGGATCAGACGCCCTCTTCTGTCCTCCTTGGGCATTGCCCGAACAGATGCACTAATATACATTCAGGCAAAACACTCATACACATAAAAATTAAATTAAAAAATTAAAAAATTCACCTCATTTACTTCTTTATAAAAGGATCATAATTGGTGTAGTACGTCATACCAAACTTATTTTATACAGTGTCTTCATATTTCAGTTAAAGATTTAGTTGATGTATGTATGCATGCCTGTTCATGTAGCAGTGTGTGTGCTGCCATGCATGTGGAGGCCAGAGGCCAACCTCAGATGACATTTCTCAGTCACTGTCCCCCTATCCTCCTTGTTTAAGAAAGGGTCTCTCACTGGCTTGGAGCTTGCCAAGGAGGCTGGACTAGCTGGCTAGTGAGCCCCAGGGATCTGCCTGTCTCCTCCTCCCCAGCACTGCAACTTCTTTCTTTATGGCAATTAAATTTTATTTATTTTATTTCTAATGATGTGTATATGTGTGTATCTGTGTGTATGTGCATTTGAGTTCATGTTCCCAGAAGCCAGAGGTATTGGAGCCTATGGAAATGGCGTTACAGGTGTTTGTGGGTGCAAGGAACCAAACTCCACTCCTCTGCAAGAGTACTATGCATTCTTAACCTAATTTAAGCCATCTCTCCAACTCTATTCTTTTCTTTTTTGAGATAGGTACTTTTATTTAATATAGGCTGGTTTCCAACTCTTTTTTAAAAAAATATTTATTAGACAGAAGAGGCCATCAGATCCCTTGGAACTGGAGTTATGGACAGTTGTTAGCTGCCATGTGGGTGCTGGGATTTGAACCCATGTCTTCTGCAAAGAACAATCTGTTTTCTTAACCACTGAGCCATCTCTCCAGCCCCTGGTCTCCAACTCTTAATGCTCTTGTTTCCACTTCCCCAGTGTTGAGGTTATAGATACTGACCATCAAGCCTGGCCCTAAAACAAATTTTCTTGACCATACAAGTCTTTCAGCATTTGAATGGTGTGTATGTGTAAGACTGAGAATGAAGTAGGTATGTACCCCTTGAAAAGAAAATTCATTTCTGCTGGGTGTGGTGGTGCATGTCTTTAATCCCAGCACTTGGTAGACAGAGGCAGGTGGATCTCTTGTGAGTTCAAGGCCAGCTGAAGCTACAGCAGGGAGACCCTGTCTCAAAAAGACTAAAAAAAAAAATTCATTTCTTATTTTGATAAGCTACTGGTGTTGGTGCCTCAGATTTCTCTGCCAACACTTCTTTGTAAACTTCTGGATTGTAAAAAGAAAAACTGAGGGCTGGAGAGACATCTCTGGGGTTAAGAGCACTTGTTCTTCCAGAGGACCTGGGTTCGACTCCCAGCCCCCACATGGTGGTTCTGGATCCATCATCCTCTTCAAGTCTTCACAGATACTACACATACACTAATACACATACCAGCAATCAAAACCCTTGTACAAATAACAGTAAATAAAAATTAAAAAAAATAAATAATTTAAGGGTCACTTTTCAAGTTAATTAAAAAAATATTTCTGGGTATACATTCAAGGTTGATGAGGATTACAAAAGACAGAGATCCAGTAAACTGTGTGGTGAAGGTGGTGGGAAGGGGCTGGAGGAGGGACTATTGAAGGCAAATTATTTTAATTAACTTGTTTAAATCATTGTTAATTTAACATGTTAGGCTTTCACACAGTTTAATGTGAAATTGAAGGCTCAAAATGTATGATAAAGCCGGGTGTGTGGTGCAGGCCTTTCATCTCAGCACTCCCAGGAGGCAGAGGCAGGTGGTTCTCTGAGATGGAGGTCCGCCTGGTCTACATTGTGAGTTCCAGTTTAGCTGGGGCTACAGGGAGCCCTGGTCTTGAAAAGAAAAAAAAAAAAAGTATGATAAATTTGAAAGTCTGTATAAAATCTTCTATTGGCAGAAAGAACTATGAAACAATCAAACCTTTTATAGCTTAACCTAATGCCTGGAGCACCGTAGGTGCAGTTGACACTGCTTTGAAGGGGTCTGTCAAAAAGTGCTCGGCCTACTTTTAATATTCTAATCACAGGTGACGAATCAAGATTCAAGATGCATTTTTGAAGTGAGAAGCAATAAAGTGATAATGAATTAAGCAGTCTGTTAAAGGTTTCCCCAGCTCTTATTTTTGCAAAAATAGGCTTATTAAAATTCAAGGCCTGACCACAAAAATAACCAGTCTTGATTTTCTTTTGCACTTGTGTACTGTTATTAGAATTTCGCAAACCCATACAGAATAAGTCTTTCTTGATCTGAAACCGGTCACAATTATGTCACATTCTTTACCTACGTTGAGAAAAACAGAATTTATTTCCTTCTTTTAGTCTGTCGCTTATTTTCTTCCTTTCACTGGCTCCCAGTCATTCTCTCGTGAACATCTTTCATTCAAACAAGGCCAGGTGCTCCTGTGAACGTCTCATTCAACATGGTGCCACGTCATCCGCCAGGGCCAGGAATGGAGCGGTGCAGTCATACTTCTCGCTGCCAGCGTGGAGCCCTGCCCTCTGCTCCTCACCTGCTCCCGGGGAATGACCCACAGGCCACTGTCACCAGCTGGGGCCCCTGGGCCGCCCCACTCCCTGCCCCTCCCCCCCATCAGAGCGGCCCCGCCCCTCCCGGATCCCGGCGCATTGATTTGCATATTTCTACCTTTGTTCCTTGGCGGTGACCAATCAGCGCGCGGGGCGAGAGGGGGCGGCGGGCGGGGCCGCTGGTCTCCGCTGAGCTGCTGCGGTCGCAGGTTGCAGAGCCGGTGGGAGCCGCGGCGGGCGAGGCACTGCAGCCCCGACCCCAGAGTCACCTGAGCCTGAGCCCCGAGCCCCAGCCTTCGGCCCGCGCCATCCTCACCGGCTCCGCCCGGCCCCAGGCCCCGGAGGCCAGCACCCGGTTGAAGACTGCGCCCCGCAACCGCCGGCCAGCCCAGGCGCCACGATGGTGTGCGGGGGCTTCGCGTGCTCCAAGAACTGCCTGTGCGCTCTCAACCTGCTCTACACCGTGAGTAGCGGGTCCCTGTACACCTGCCCACCGCCGCCGGCCTCCTCCCCATCCCGCGCCGGCGTCGCGCGCCCCTGCCCAGCTTCCCACGCCCGGTCTGGCCCGTAGCCCCCGCCCGGGACCCCTAGCCAGCTTGTCGCAGTCTCAGCCTGTCCCTCTTTTGTGGCATCGCCCCCGCCCTTCTCTCGCCAGCCTTCCCGCTCTCCCTGCCCGGCTCTCCCATCCCGATCCCTTCTGCCTCTCGCTCCGGGCTGACCATCCCATCTGGAGCCCGCCGGGCTTGGAGGACAGTTTTGCAGGGCAGCGTGGCCTGGAACGGACCAGGCGGCCTGTGGATGGCGCGCCTCGGGTTCAGCTCAGCTCGCTGGTTTACGGACGGAGGCCACCCATCAGGTTCTCAGGATATCCGTGGCTTCCGAAGTTTGTTTCGTGCTTACATAAAGGTCCTTTGTTGATGTTCCTGCCGGTTAGGTTCCTACTTGATGGTTTTTCCATGCATCCCCCTCCCCCCTTATCTATACCCTTATTCCATTTTAGGCAAAGCCCTCCAGTAAATAAACCTCCACCCTAGTAGTGTTTTTTTCTCTTTTTGTTTTGTTTACTTTTTCCTGCTCATAGATTAGATCTCCCAGTTTTAATGTTGCAGGCTCTTTTGGATTTTTGAGACGTAATTCTAGGTGAACAGGAGGATGACAAGCTGACGTTTATTGAAAGCCTACTACACCCGGGCTTCTTCATATATATTTGTCATTCTGAATTCCACCTCTGGCAAGCAGAGTTGTCTAAATTTTGTAATAAAACAACAAACCAAAAAGGGTCTTAATAAGCTGATAGTTGGTGGGTCTGGAGTGGAACCTATGCTGTGGTATCCATATCTTTCTACAGGCTGCATCTACTGGGCGGAAGAAACTTCCTCCAATGTCTTCATCTCTCCATCACAGTTTAGTCCCTTCTATAAATACACCTGGTGCTTGTGGCACCCACCCTGAAAACAAACCCAGCTCCTCAGCATTAGCAGAGCCAGGCCTCCGGGGCCAGCTTAGGTTACATCTTTGGATGAGAGAGAATGCCTGTGATCACCAGCACAGACAAACAGGGTCGTCTTACAATAGTGTGTGTGTGTGTGTGTGTGTGTATGTGTGTGTACACACATGATGGTCAAGCTTTGAAGGCCAGGATAGAAACAGCCATCAATGGTGTATGCTTTTCTGATGACTTCATAGGAATTTAGTCAGCATGTTGGGGGTAAATTCTAGAACACTCAGTAATACAGCTCCTTGTAACTGGAGATGCATGTCAAGTTTCAGACTGAAATCCACCAGTCTCTTGAGACATGTGTAACATATTGTTTGTTAAGTAAATGCCAATAATTTCTTGAAATAGTAGTTTCTATTAGCATGAATTCTTAGAATGTCACATTCTCTATTTTATGCCTCAACTTCTGTTTTCTCCCTTTCAGTGATTCAGTCACCTGTTTACCTGATACTGAGTTTTAGAGTGTCTGCTGTGTCTGATTACACACAGTATGATGGCTGCTTGGCATGTTTATTTGACTGTGGAGTCTGTATACATCAATGTACAATATATACTTTTTAATTTTGTTTTTTGGTCTTTTTGAGAACGGATCTCTATTGCCACAGCTGGCTTGGAACTCACTATGTAGACCAGGCTGGCCTCTATCTCACAAAGATCTGCTTGTTTCTGCCTCCTGAGTGCTGGGATTAAAGGTGTGTACTACCATACCTGACAAAATATACTTTTTATTTATTTATTTTTTTTGAGACAGGGTCTCTCTGTAGCCCCAGCTGGCCTGGAACTCGCTATGTACACCAGGCTGGTCTCTGCCTCCCAAGTGCTGGGCTATGTAGACCAGGCTGGCCTCTGCCACCCGAGTGCTGGAATTAAAGGGGTTCGCTACCACCCCTGGCTAATACATACTTTTTAAGAAAGTTATTTTCAAATCATACTATCGCTTTCAGGATACATTATTTCCAGCAGTTTTTGCAGCACATCATTAAAGACAGGAGAAAGAAAAGTTGACTCTAAAGGGATATATTAAAGTTATTTAATATCTTTCCTAACTTACTGACCTTCAGAGTATATTTTTTTATTGATTTTTAGCAGCTATGCAGTAAATTCATGGGAATATAAATACAGTTAGTCTTTTAAAATTCTAAACATTTTTAGGAAAAGATACATTTCTTAAAATAAGTTACTGGCTACCTGCTTCCTAAACATTGTATGTACATAAGTTAGGATATAAATTTAGCAGTTTTAAGTTGTAGGTGAATGACAGATAAAGTTGGACTAGATTTTTAAACAGGTCAAAAGTGTCCATAGCTATTAATTAGGGCCTGCATCTACCCTGGCTTCTCTCTACACATTTTAAGATGAAAAAAAAATGTGGTGGCTGGCAGAGTCCAGCTTCAGGACTGGGAGATGTTTTGTTATAGGGCACAAATAAAAGGATCCTTTGTAGGTTCTCTATGGTGCTGACTGCCTCTAAAGTATGCTCAGAGCTGGGAGATTAGGTGTGAGGTCATTTCTGAAAGCATTTGAACCAAGATTGCATATGGGAGTGGCAGGTGTAAAGGCCACTGCTGGCCTTAAACGTCATCCCTGTTTTGAAGGATTTCCTGAAGAACTTGGGACTCTAGGAGCTGGACTGTGTGCATCCTTAGATGGTCTTCTAATGAGCCTGAGATTTGTCTGTATTCATAGCTAGTCTGGGAGAGAAACAGATCCCTAAAGCAAAGTGGAAGGAACACCCCCAAAAGTTGTCTTGGAAATTTGATGACCAGATGGAGGTTAAGGGTTGACTTTTGTTGCTTTTTTGTCATGGTTGTTTTAGCTAAGGGGATCCTCACTATTGAAAACCTTGTTAGTATAGTATATGTTTTTTGGTTGGTTTGGTTTTTGAGACAGGGTCTCCCTGTAGCGCCAGCTAGCCTGAAACTTGCAATGTAGACCAGACTAGCCTTGATCTCACAGAGATCTGTCTGCCTCTGCTTTCCAAGTGCTGGGATTAAAGGACTGACCATGCCTAGATTAGTATAGTATATGTAAACAACCTGTAAGGGTATGAAGAAAAGGAGGAAGCCCCTTTCTCTCTTTGTGCATCTTCACGGTGTTGTAAGGGAAATGATGACATGCTTCAGAGCTTCCTGCTTCTCAAGATAACTGAGTTTCTTCAGTCAACAAGTATGGGATGTGTGCCTACTATGTGCAGGCTTGTGTGCCTACTGTGTGCTGGCATTATTACGAGTCTGGAAATGCAGTAGCAAAACAAGCAGCACTATGAAGTCAGTATGTTTTGACGAAGGCCACTTTTAGTTACTACCTTTTCTGCATATGATTGACAGGACAGTATTTGTCCACTAAAGTTTTCTCTTTCATATGCACTCTATTGAGACCTGGGGGTAGAGGCTAATACTTGTCCTGTGGGAAGGATCTAGTTGGGGAAACTTGGTGTGTAAGGGTTTAGAGTTCACAAACTTTAGGGCTGGGTAAAATCTTTGAGGGTGAGAATAAAGAAGATGTGATTGAATTTGGGAAATGTAGAAATAGTGTGTTTCTTTCATAGCTTCAGGATAGGTACAAATTAAAATCAGTTTGGGAAATTAATTGATTATCTTTTTTATTTTGAAATAAGGTCTTGCTGTGTATTTCAGGCTGGCCTCAAACTTGGAATCTTCTTTTCAAGTGCTAGAACTATAGGAGTCTTATCACCATGCCCAGTAAAATGGTACATATTTATATGTATGTGTTTTAATTGAAAATATTTTGACAAATTGTGAAAAACAATAAAAATTATACATATGTATGAGGAATTTTAAGAAATATGAAGTAAATGTGTTAAAATATATAACTTTGTTTTTGTTTTTCTTTTGAGATGGGGTCTTCCTGTAGCCCCAGCTTGCTATGTAGAGCAGACTGACCTCAATCCCGTAGAGATCTGCCTAACTTTGCCTCCCAAGTACTGGAATTAAAAGCATCATTTTATACATAATATTGTATATAATATGAATGGTTTAAAATGTATGGGTTTTAACTACAGAAAAATAACTTATGAACTTAAGGAAATTGCAGAAATTACAGTTTTTAAAAATGTGTTTATTCTTCTAAAATCTCTCCAGGTTTTTCTCTATGTTTTCCTATGTTGAAAATCTGACTGTGTAGCTCGGGTTGGCCTTGAACTTGCAGCTCTCCTGTCTCTGCCTCCCTGTACTAGGATTATAGGTATATTTTATGTGCCCAGATAAGTTCTTTTACTTTCTTTTCTTAGACCAGTTTCAAGATTTTTCCCTTCACATCTTTGCTTATTTTGACAAAAGCCCCCTTGAAAGATCAAAAATTCTATTGATTTATATCATCTTAAGACACAATTTGCTTTATATTTTATCATGTCTAAAATTAGGGTGCTGGCTTAGCCCTATGGCTCAGCAGGTAAAATGTGCTTACTACTAAGCATGACAGCCTGATTCCATTCCTGGGATCTGAATGGTGAAAGGAGAGAATTGACTCTTGCAAGTTATCTTCTGACCTTCACATTCGTGAAGCATGTGCTGGCCTACGCACAAAGTAAATAAATTAAAAATAAAGTTTGGGGCTAGAGAGATGGTTCGGTGGTTAAGAGCACTGGCTGCTCTCCCAGAGGACCAGGATTCAGTTCCTAGCACCTACATGGCAGCTATCCATAACTCCCAGTTCTAGGGGAATTGAAGCCCTCTTCTGACCTCCATGGGCATTGCAGACATAGGTGCACTTATACACATGCAGGCAATACACTCGTACACATGAAATAAAAATAATTTTAAAAATTGGGATGCATTTTATAGTTGATATAGTATAAAAAAAATATGCTCATAAATTTATGGGAGAAAAATATTATTAGACATAAAGGAAACTTCTAAAAGTTTTTTAACTGCACAGTTTTGAGTCCTAATCTGGTTATTAACATGCTGGAAAATGTAATTTTAGTTTAGTTGCAGCTTCTAAAT